ATGTTGAAACTTCAACGCCGTCGACAACTCCACCTGTTGACGCTGATGCTATCGACGCAACTGCTTCGGCTATTGAGTTTGCTCGAGACTTACCATCTGAACAGATAGCGAGCAGACTTGTACTGTCCTATCTCAACCATGACCACTTACGCTACCCTGTGGTCCTCCCTGCTACTCTCGGTGCGATGCTTTCGGAAATATACAGCTCGAACGCGACTTCCTCCACGCGCTCCGCAAGTGAAACCTTCATTTTCGATATGGTTCTTGCTATCGCGACAGCCAGCATCTGCCGGTCCGATTGGCAAGGGCTACCAAGTGCTCATACTCATTACATACGGGCGATGAAGCGAGCCTCGACCGTCTTGGAAAAAGGCGGGCTCGGTGCACTCCAAGCAGTTATCCTGTTGATTCAGTATCGCATGAGCAGTTCCATGGAAGATACCTCAGCCAGTATGTTGCTACACCTCCGTACATCAGAGCAGACCTTGCCTGATTGCAAGAGCCATCTAATAATTACACAGGTATGTGGCATCTGGTAGGAGTGGGAAGCAGAATTGCCCTGGAACTTGGCCTTCACTGTGAAACTGCATATCCTTACAAACGCTCGGATGACTCTCCAAGTAATGCAGACTTGAGTGCCAATCTTGTACAGCAGGAAGTTTCCCGGCTTTGCTTTTGGAGCATTGTGGCTATGGACAGGTATGTTAGGCAATGGCGACGCGAGCATATGCCAGAGGTTGGACTAGCTGACAGCGTACTAGAATAGTCAGCAACATACTTGGCAGACCTTTGGCAATCCACAACGACGACGTAGACACGGCACTACCGTCTGGCCTATGCGACGAGATCCTGCTTTCTGGACTCGAAACGCCCATGGCCGAGCACCTGGTCAAATGCCGCCGCATACCAATTTTCGTTCTGATCATCAAGTATCGCGTACTGTGTGGGGATATCATCCAGACTCTGCACAGTCACCGTCGAAGAAATCAGTCGGATGATGAGCTCCGCCACCGTAGAGATGAATTCGCTGCCGACCTCAGAGTTTGGCGGCTAAATGCCGAGACCGTCGCTCATCCGGGTTCTCTGGATGAAGGCAGGCCTTCATCTTGCTTCACCTCACCAACTTGGTTCGAGATGATATACCATAACGCCGTGCTAATGCTCCATCGACCATCGCCCACACTGGACACGTCAAGAGACTCAGTCGCGGTACAAGCGATTTTTGCCTCCTCTCAGGCTTCCATATCCTCGTATGCCAGCCTTCATCGCATGGGGCTCTTGAATCACAGTTGGCTTTCATTACAAGCTTTGTTTATGGCAGGGTTATCATATGTGTACGCTGTAACGATGCACTACCAGGCCATTCGGAGACAGCAAGGTCAACGACTAGGTGGTCTGCTGATCAGAAACCCAAGCACCATGGAAGTGATTAGCGATACACGAACATGCTCAAACGTCCTTGTAGCGGTATCGGAAAGATGGAAGTCGTTGCAACGTTGCGTCGATGTCTTCAACAGGCTGAGCGATGCTATCCTAATCGACGTTATCAAATTCAGCACACACCCCATCGCCGTCGCCACCCCTGCGGCCAACAGCACAGAAGACAGTGCCCACCAGTGCAGCAACCGGTCGGAGCTGGCGGCGGATACAGACTCGAATGGGTTGGGCCAGCCTCACTGGATGCACCCACAATACCTTCAACCTGTCGGAGCCGATGTAATGGTGTCTAATGCATCCCCACTGGCGATCGAAAATGAATTCAAGGGCTCTGCGTATGATCTACGACAAATGTACGATCAACAACAAGTCGACATGTCCGTGTATCGGTTCTCTCAGGCGTGGTTCGACAGCTTCGACTTATACGGTGGTATGGAACCTCAGCTCAACGACATGACGATGGATACGCATTTTTGATGTCAGCATGCTTCTACCGTTGCCAAAGCTGGTCTCGCATGAGGCTGCCCGCTGTTGCGCGGGGTGAAGCAATCAACTGACAGTTTCGAGTGTGCCGGAAATTGGCCACAATCAATTGACTGGAATTATTGGCGCCACAATCACCACACATCTGTCACGCTTGCGGCTCATGAAAGATGCGGTCACTCTAGAATAGTGGTATTTGCATCTTTCGGCGTGGGCACGCCGAGCGGCGTCGTTGCCAAGCAGTCCACCGGTAGTCTTGCTCGGGGCGGCGTCGCCGAGGGGTGGTGACCCGCCACTGCGAGTCAGCGCTTCGGAGCGGGACTACCAAAGTTGGGATCTTAGCGCCCCAACCCTGACTTTCATGTCGATATCTGGTGCGAGGACGCCATTATCCGGGGCGACCCCATGGGGAGAAGGACTAGTGTTCGATGCGCGGGGTAAATGAACGAGATTCGATATAAATCACTGTCCCGTCAATAGGACCATGCATCTTTTTCGCAGTGCCTTTAGCCTGGGTTCTTGCCCTACTCTTGACGCTGAAAGACCCTGTCGACGATACCATGGCCGTACCACAATCTGAGCCCGTGCAGGGTGTAGGATCTCCCATGTTAGGTCACACCGTCGACCCCATCGATGAGAAGTTCCAGAGCCAGCATATGGAGTATGAGAAAGTCGAGGTCAAAGGCGATTACTCTGGGGCCGTGGCCAAGACGAGCCCCGAGGAGAAGAAGCTCGTGAGGAAGCTGGACATCTGGATTATGGTCAGTCAACTATTGCCATACCTCCCAAATTTTGACTAATTACCCGATCCAGCCCATGCTTTGGTTGATGTACTGGCTCAACTACCTAGACCGCAACGCTATTACCCTCGCCCGTCTCAATGGGTTCCAAGACGATCTTGGACTCACCAGCAACCAATACAGCACTGCTATTTCTATTCTTTTCGTCGGCTATATCCTAGGCCAAATACCGAGTAATATGATTATCACGAGAGTTAAACCTTCGTGGTACATGGGAATCTGTATGATGGGATGGGCGGTTGTAAGCGGGCTTACAGCTATCGTACACAACTACACGGGCATCGTACTTGTGCGCTTTTTCTTGGGTGTAGTTGAGGCACCATACTACCCAGGAGCACTGTATCTCTTGAGTATCTTCTACACGAGAAAGGAGATTGCGACACGCATCAGCATTCTCTACTCTGGTAACATCCTCGCGTCGTCATTCGCTGGACTCATTGCGCTTGGCGTCTTCAAACTCGACGGTGTCCGTGGTATCAGGTATGATCTCCACACAGTTCTTGTGCAACGATACTGACCTCATGTCAAGCGGATGGCGTTGGTTGTTTATCATACAGGGCGTCGTCACCTTTGTCATCGCCGTAGTCGCCTGCTTTACCCTCCCTGACGAGCCTTTGACCACATGGTGGCTCAACCCCGAAGAACGCCAACTTGCGCACGCCCCGGTTGCGCGAGATACAGTCGGCCACTCCGCCGACGTTTCCATGCTCGCAGGCCTAAAAGAAGCTATCCGAGACCCCAAAGTTTGGGTATTCGTCTACATGCAACACCTGTTAGTTCTATCGGTTCCGCTACATTTCCCGTCTCTGACACTCTCTAGTCATATTGCGACCAATGGTTTTAAGGTAAGTTCTGGCTGTACGAAGTGCATGTGAGACATATACTGACTTCGTACCCCTACTCTGCAGAACTTCATGCCAACGATCGTCAACACACTAGGCTTCTCTCAGGAAGTAACTCTCGTATTGACATGCCCACCTTACTTGATTGCGGGCGCATTCTCCGTCGCATGGGCCATATCATCCGGCCATTTCAACGAACGCACCTGGCACATCACCATTGCCAAAGGCGTGGCTGTCTTTGGCTTCGTGCTCGGCTGCGCGACTATGAATGTAGGCGCGAGGTACTTCGCCATGTGCGTCTTTACCATCGGCACGTATGGCGTCAACAGCATCATCCTCGGATGGGTGTCCTCAACCTGTGGACAAACGAGAGAGAAGAAATCTGCGGCGCTGGCTATTGCCAACGTCGCAGCTACACTCAGCTTGATCTGGACTCCCGTAAGTCTCGCTTCTTGATCGCCTGGATATGCTGACTAATGTTGAATAGTACATCTGGCCAGAGTGGTCGGAGCCGCGGTTCGTCTTGCCCTTGGCTATGAGTGCTGGTATGGCACTCATGTGTGCGGCTGGCGCATGGTTTATGCGCTGGTGGTTGGTGCGGGAGAACAGGAGGATTAAGAGCTCGAACTCTGAGACTACGATGTTCTACGCCTATTGAAAGAGGTGACGTCTCGAATGTATATTGAAGCAATTAACTGCTGCCCCAAGGGTTCCAAGCCTATGTACCCAATGTACCAATGTGTGCCTGAGCTGACGCCACTGACCCACCGTATAGTACCATTCACCTTCTCTGTTAAACCTGATCGCTTGGATGTAGCATATAACTTCATACAGTAGCTGTTAGCTCGGCAGAGGTGGTTTCCATACTCTGGTTTCCTATTGGCGGACAGCTGACTATACGATATGTCGAAATGCTCTTCCTTTCGCATGCGGTATTTGGGTGTTTGTGTTGAATGTGTCACATGTTGCTTTATTTCTGGGGAGAGCTGAATGTCGGTTAAATGAGTCATGAACCGCAGGGCTGATACGGAGTCTCGCCAGGACTTCGGGAACTCCTGGGGTAGGAATCCTTTGACCTTTTCAGAAGGTAGGGCGATCGGTGTGTTTTGATTCGCTTGAGTCATTCAACAACTTCCGTCATTATGCCGTACGAGATGATTTTCCTGCTATTTTCCCCTGTAGGAGTTTCCGATCACACGTCGATCCTCTGTACACGGTATGCATTGGCAATTTAAATAACACATGCCAACTATTTGGCGAAAATCGATACTTCATGGGGCCGGCGAAGGATTCTGACTGTTACATGGAACGCATCCTACGCGCAATCCTACGCGGCATGCTACGCATCCGACGGCAGTGTATCTAACAATGAGCCCACTTTATCACACCAGGAGCGTCTAACGTTCCGCAAACCTTTGCAACACCAATCGTCAACACCATGGGACTGTGGGACGTGGAAGACTATGGCACTATCGCTGATAGGGCTTGCTGGTCTATGTTCGCAGTCACAGCTGGCGAGTAGCCCTCTTATGTTGCGCCGAATGGCAGCTAACTGTCTTGCAGTGTTCGTGGCGTTGAGAGTCGGCACTCGCATGTCCAGCAAAGGCGGTGGCCTTGGAATGGACGACTATATCACCGTATTCTGCGTCGTTGTGATGCTCGTCACCTGTATCCTGATCTCGATCGGCACACAGTACGGTCTTGGGCGGAGAATGGAGGCTATCGATCCCCCATTGATACCGCGAGCTCTCAAGTGGAATGTAATCATCAGTTCGGTACTGATATGGACGTTTTCGCTACCCAAGTTCGCCATCATCGCTATTCTCAAGCGTATTCTGGATTACGGCCTCAAAACGACGATACTATTCTGGGGCCTCGCGCTCAGCTCCCAGGCCTGCATATTGGCTACCTCGATCTGGTGGTACAAGCAATGCGATCCGGTCGAATTTGGCTGGAACAGAACCATACCGGGCGGAAAATGTGCCAGTACCAAGGTCATGTCAGATTTGGGCTATTTCACCTCCGCCTACTCTGCCTTCCTGGATGTTTTCTTCGCTGTGTATCCGATCCCATTCATCATGCGCCTCAACATGCCACTCAAGAACCGCATCCTGGTCTCGATCGCGCTGGGCCTCACTATCCTGGCCTTCATCCTCACCATCTACAAACTCACAATTTTTGGGGAAATCTTTGTAGTATTGGCTGAGAACCCGACCTGTGAGACTTCCACCCCACATATTTCTCATTGCAGAACTAACTTTGTTAGACCCGGTCCCGCTTCTCGATATACTCGGTCTAGGAGAGGGTTGTATTCTCGTCGTATGCTCCTCTTTGCCCACACTGGGCCCGCTCTTCCGCTCGGTCAGAGGCAAGGTTCGGACTCTCAGTGGCAGTGGTAATGGCAGTAGGACCACCAGCCAGGGACAACGCAGCAGCGCCACCCACCGAGGAGGGCTATCCAGCACCAGCGGAAGATGGGAAAAACTTCTAAGGCATCAGTTGGATGACGTGGAGAGGACATCGACCCACACCGGTGAAAGCATCGATGACATCCCGCTCGTTTACCACGGCGCGGACCAGATCCACAAGACGCTTGAGTTTAACGTGACGACGAGCGCGAGGGGCGACCGATGGGCGAAGCCAATTGACGATCGTGACAAGTAGCTTGGTATCAGTGTGGGGGTCAGTACTTCCTTCAAGCATCTACGCGCGTGATCGGGCAGCAGGGTCGTGGTGATGATCTGATTGGGCAAGCTTTGATGTCGTTGAAATGAGGTTGTTGATGTAATGTTATTAAGGCGAGGAACTGTAAAACTCAATACAGACTCTTCAGTAACACCAAAGTTCAACTGCTACAGTAGACATGTCTTGTCAAGGTCGCTCGCACGAGTTCGAGGGGCTGCGTGCCAAGAGTGGCGTGAGAAGTTGGGGGCCCAACAGGTGGGCCCGCCCCTGAGACATCCTTGCTCACTCGAATTCCGGATATCGTGTCCCCAACCGATCGGTGCTAACCACTTCAACCCGCATGGTATTAAATCGTGCGGCTTGTTAGATGCAATTCGGGACTAATTACTCCGTAGAATTTCGGCCACATCACGTGTCTTGGAGGACAGTTCACGTGTTAGGAAAAGTACATAGAGGAAGAATGGATCCTAGTACGCGCTTAACTGTTACAAGAAATTTACTAACTATGATAGTATTTGGAAACCTCCAGTCGGCCGGTAGATATGGCCACGATTTACGGTAGATAACAACATTACTCTTTGTCAAATAGCAGACGGCGTGTCTTTCCCGTTGTTCCTGCATCTTTCCCCAAAAATTAATTCCTATTTCCAACATGGCATCAGCAGACCAACTTATCGGAGCCTTGCAGGGCCTCGACGCGAACTCCTTCGTTAGCGAAGCAGAGCGCGTCCGTGCCATGGACGCGCTGACCCTGGCCTTGAGCAAAGTACACAAGCCGTGGGACATTGTTTGGCAGCACTGCTGGGTCAATCCGGCCACCAATGCATGCGTCAAGACGTTGATTGACGCGGGTGTCTTCAGCAAATGGATCGAGACCGGAGGCGGAGAGAAAACTTGCGCGGAACTCGCTGAGTTAACGGGTGTCGATGTAGTGCTCATCCGTAGGTCACACATCCGTTCTGCTTAACTCTTGATGAGCATTCTGACGGCAATACAGGGCGCATGATTCGGCAAATTTCTGGGCAGAATCTTGTCATCGAGACCGCCGAGGACACCTATAAGCCTACACCGTGGGTACACGCTCTCGCTGAGGATCAGGCCCTCGCCAACGTCTATGGTGAATTTTATGGCTTCGTCAATTCCCCCATGTTCAGGACTTTGCCAGCCTACCTCAAGAAGACGGGATACAAAGTCCCTACTAACCCCAACGACTGCAACTGGCAGTTCATGAGGGGCTCAGATGAGAATCTGTTCCAGTCCCTTGGCGCGAACCCTGCCGCCGCAAGGGAATTTAATGATGCCATGGAGAGTCACTCCAAGCATAACTTGACGCCCTGGGTTGATGTCTACCCAACTGAGACTCTTGTGAAAGAGTCCAAGTCTGACCGGCCCCTTGTCGTCGATGTCGGTGGTAGCAAGGGCCACGACCTTACCAAATTCCATCTGCGCCACCCTGATATCCCTGAGGGCAGTCTGGTGCTCCAAGACCTGCCCGATATTCTGAAGGAGTTGACTATTGACGACACCATCTCCATCCACCCTCATGACTTTTTTAAACCACAGCCAGTGAAAGGTGCCCGTGCCTACTTCATGCACAACGTGCTGCACGACTGGGAAGACACACAGGCGAAGCAGATCCTTTCTCACCTTGCCGAAGCTATGGAACCCGGATATTCGAAGCTTCTCGTTCATGAAAGTTTGGTTAGCTCCGTCAAGCCGCTCGCTCGTGTGACAACGTCTGATATCACTATGATGGCGTGTCTTGGTGCGAAGGAGAGGACGGAGGCTGAATGGCGGACGCTGGTAGAGAGTGTAGGATTGAAGGTGCTTAAGATATGGAGACCACCTCACTCTGTAGAAAGTGTTATTGAGGCAGAGCTACCTAGGTAGTTCGAATTCTAGGATGTCCCGTCGTACATGTGTCGCACGGTCGGGTGCGGGTATTGTAGATATAATAGCTGGAATAGAGCGTGTGTATTGTATTGTTTGTAATCTCGTAGTTGAGCTTATGTAAAGGTCATCGCACGAGGTTATTGATAACAACGTTTCCGACAGCGTTTGGCCTGCGACACCTTCAGATCTTATTGCGTCCTAGATCAGGTTTGACCGTTATCAAAGTTCGCGCTCTTGTCAGTAGCGCAACACTTAGCCGGTAATCTGGCTGAGCCTGTTTCTATTGGCTTGCTGTATCCTGGGCTCACAATGGCGATATATCATGCCAAACCACCCATTCCTTCACATACGACCATAGGATCATGAAAATTAGGCTTCCCGTCCGCTCAGCCATATACAAGCATGATACCGGCGGATTAGTAGTTAGGTGGGTGACCACTAGCGAATCCCCGCTGTTGTATGTCTTTGCCATAATTTTTGCCCATGGCATGGAAGGGAACGACGCTCCATGACGGGGCGTGAAGCTGTCGCAGCGTCGACTTGAGACTTTATTTTTGCACAGAGCGCTGTATCAGCAACTCGACCGGAAATGTCGCGGCTCACATTGATATCGTGAGCTTCAGTTTAGACAGCTGGTGTGGGGGATCTTCGGGCAGGCTCGGCGACGCGACTGCGAAAGCCAGACGAAGAACTCCGGTGCCTGCCTGCCAGAGATCCCGCGTCAACCTTGACTTCTTCTTGCACTACCTACGGAAAGGTGCGTATTCAACATCTGTTATACACGTCGCAATAGCACTTCTCATATGCGGGGCAGCTGGTTCACGTTAGCAGCGGCGCAACGCGACTTCGATCGATCCAGTACTTACTAAACGGGCTCCTGCCCAAACAGAATGTGCCAAAGGTACTCGAAAACCCGCCCGCTTGTCTCATCCTTCAGTGGAGTCTCCATCAGCCAGGTGTAGAACGTTCTGTATTCGTCCAACGGCCGCTTTCGTATCTGCTCGCTCGACACGGCAAACTGCGCGCAGCAAGGCGTCGCCAGTATATGCGGTACGTTCGTGTTGTTGAACAAGTCTCGCCACGCGTCCGGCATCGCTGCTTCGATAGTTCGATGCTCTTCAGGCGGATCGCGAAACGGCATTACTTCGTGCGGACAGCCGGGATCGTTGACGCAACGCAGATTCGCGTAGCCGTTGCTTTGGATGAAGTTGTTGTTGAGACTCTGCAGAGACACGACGTTGGAATGCTCTTGGTTGTCGGTATGCCATGCAATCGGATAGCCATCTTTGTGCGGATGTATGAACGCGATTGTTGAAGGAAGGTTGTCGTAGTTCTGCACGATATACGCGAGGTACGCATTTGCTTCCATTCCTTTGTTCCGGAGGGTGCGTAGAGTGCTGTTAGTCATCGGATCCAGGGTCGATATGTTGTGTGGAGTTTCGGTATCGATGTCATAGATGGCCGCTTGCCAGTCTGGTAGATCGGTATGCACCCAATCTGTTTCGTCGGTGGGAAGCTTTGCCATTACCACGACGCGATCAGGTAGGGATGGGGTAGGTGTCGCGACAGCAGTACTTTGCGTCGATGTGCTCATATGTTGAGAGTACGTGGATGTCGATGATGCTTCTCCTTTCGCGCCTCCATGCGCACCTTCCTGCTCGGATATCTCTTGCTTTCCTGCCGCTTCCGTTGACTCATGTCGCCATGGCTTCTTATCAACGCTGGTCTCGAGGGAACCTCCTTGGGCGACATTGAAGTGGGCGTCGAAGAGATACCATGCGCAGAGTAGAAGTACTGCTACCACTATGGATTCGATCTGTCTGCGGGAACGCATCATCGCTTGATGCCAAGTGGGTTGAGGACCTGAGAGTTGATGGAATTGGATGCGCGATAACTCGGGCTAGAGGTGTTCGAACAGAATATCGGGAGGACTCCGGTGATTACATCGCGTGCTATACGTGCGCAGGTAACATCTAGTTCCTAGAACAGTTGCCGATGATCAGGTAGTGGAGAGTAATTGTAGCGCGCGCCTTCTCGAAGGGGAGGTGAACTGCATTTCTTGCAAGGGACAAGAGATGGGCACAGCCTCGTCGCAGCACAAAGCCCCAAGATGTGACATTGCGGCACAGTAGAGTTAATATCAAGATAGGGCAGGTACAAGGAGTTGGTTGCGCGCGCTTGTCCTACGGCGCTAACCGGCGCTCGCTGGTTGGTGAATTCATGGGGCTCACGCTAACCCGATGCGATCACGATGCAGCAGGGCATGGACAGAGTATAGTACAACACCGGATTGGTCGGACTTGCGACTCAACTCCTGTGGGCTTCATCCCGTGAAGCCACCTTACAGCCTTACTATGCACCTATACTAGCCATTCCCAGCTTCTGAGTCCTCCGACATGTCGTCACTTGTCAAACCTCGGAGCGTTAGCATCAATTTTCCGGTTGTCTCGCAGAATTACAATCTTCGCCAACGTTGCACAAGGTCACTGTGAGCAACATCCTATCATTGCACCTATTCTCCATCCGTCAGGCAAACACCGGATCGAAGACTTCCGGCATCGTTGCGGTGATAAGCAAAACAAAACAGTACCTAGATAGGGGAATTCTGCGCAAACTCTACAGGGGGATCGCTCAAAGCTGTGTGCTTGTTCAAGTCTTTCATCACACTCTCGCCAAAAAGAAGCGATGAGGGTGCCAGGTGGCGGGATTGGCGTGATGATTGCGCGCCACTGCTTTCCTTTTGCATCGTAAACGAGGATCAGGTGGCGTAGTGGCTGATATGACAAAACTCGAGTCACAGAAGGCAAATGTGAAGCTACCGATGTACAGTTACAATCCCAGTAGGGCTTCGAGGACTTGATGCAGACCGATGCCAGGTGGTAGAGCTGGGTAGAGAAGTTATGAATGATGGTAGATATTAGTAAAGAGTTTGACAACCTTGTATTAACCTTCACGCAACTAAAATCACAAGTATTACAATTATGGATAAGTTTAATGGTAAAATGAATGATGATTTGAGGTATAGACCGAAGTCACAACAAAGTCTATAGACAGGAAGGTAACGTGGTATCAAGAAGGTAAAAGGT